AGAAAGAGTGAAAAACCAAAAAGTACGGGAACGCTTTTCTGGCAAAAACTGGTAAAACTGTCAAAAACACCGTGGATGCCATTTTTTGTTTACATAGCAGTTTTTGTCATTTGGCGATCTGCTAAATTATACGCAAATACAGAAAATTATAAGCAAACGCCAGCAAAAATTATTTGGGTTAAATTTTTTCTATTTCTGACAAAGAGATTACCGTTTTTACTCTCCGATTTTTCCCCTACTTTTCCAGTAGTTTTTCCATAAACTAATATTTAATTAAAACAAGTAAGAAAGTCTAAGTTCGGGCGGAGCCGAACATTAAATACCCGGCGCAAGTATTAAGTATATGTTTTTTCATAAATGTCGAAATATTAAAGTTTTAAGCATTTCTGAAATTTACCGTTACATTAAAAGCGGCCTCAATTTTAGTCCGAGTTCTATAATTTTCAACGTATTGCTTTTATGTGGCAAGCCCAGTAGCCGTACCGTGTTTTGGTACAAATTGGTAGAACGGTTACCGAGATACATATGTGTGATCATAAGTGGGCGGTGCCACACCCATTTTCCAAAATTTTATCACAAACGTATTTCTTGGTAAAGAATTGTTGCAAGCATAAATATGAATAAATTAGCTTTAATATTTACTGATTTATCGAAGATTTCGTATTTCTCTAAATTACCGTCATATGGGATGTGGGCGTGGTTATGGTCCGATCTTAAAAAAGTTCGGTTGTTGTTGTTGTAGCGGCTACAACAACTCCGCCCAGATCGGTTGGTATCTCAGTCGTTGTCGTCTAGTTCCACTAACGGCAGCCCTAGGAAGCGTGCAGCTTCTATTGGGTTGGTCCACAAGGGCAAAGCCGTTAGGGTTGTCGGGTTTTACGGGTATGCGAAGAGATGTTTCGAGTAATGTGGGGTCTCTCCGCATGCCGGACACTCATTTGGCACATCCTCTTTCAATCTACTCAGGTAGGAGTTTAACCTGCTGCAGTAGCCAGAGCAGAGTTGGGCTATTGTCATTCGTGTCTCCCGAGGCAGATGAAGCTCCGTCTCGTCTATGTCCGGAGGCGGTATGCCTAGAACGGCATTCACAAATCCAGAGTCTACATAACTCGAGACTGACTCCCTGTGAATGCCGTTCAGGGCCAGTCGGTAAGCTGACGGGTCCAGAGGTTGCTTGATGAACCTCTGGACTTCGTCCGTCAGTTCATATAGATGCCTCCTGACGTGCCTAGGCGAGGGCTCCTCTGCAAGCAGCTGTCTGTTTGGGTGGCCACTTCTGTGGCTCCCGATCAGGAACTGCTTGCAGAGCATTATGTTGTGCTCCTTTACGGGGAGCATTTGCGCCTCGCCGTGAAGATGGTGTTCGGGCGACATCAGGAGGCATCCTGTNGTTGTTGGCAGTTTGTGCAGCCTTCTGGTCACTCGACGCTTGGCTTTGTCCACCGGAGGGTGCAGTATGAACTGTCGGCTAAAATAGCTCGCGCATTGCTCCGGGTCTGACGAAGCATGGTCGCCGAAAGAAATTTCGACTCTGTCGTCGTGCTTCATCGAATTGGACAGTGACCTCACGGTTGACCAAAGCTTACTCACACCAGAGGTGAAGTTGCAGGTCTTCAGATGCTCTTCCCACTTCTTCCGCTTATGTACGTTTACTAGTTGCCGAATCTCCGCGTTGAGATTCCTGATACGGGGATCTCCGGGATCGGCCTGACGAATGCTATCACGCTCATCGGCTAGAACAGCCGCTTTGGCATGGAAGTTTGGACGTGGGTCCGTTATACATCCTGCCGGTATGAAGCGAGCTGCAGCAGCAGTTACGGCCCTGCGAAACTTACGTTCACCGAGATGGACGTCGGTTGGTGTGGGAAGCGCAGTGAAGGTGTTTTCAGTATACTCCGCGTAACCTTTCCAATCACCTTTAGAGAAGTTGATATAGGTCCGGTGTTTAGCGGAGGAAAAGTCGGTTGGTTTATCTATCGAGATGACTATAGGTAGGTGGTCTGATGCTAAAGTCAGCATAGGTCGCCATGTTATGCTGTTTATCAGACCAGCGCTGACTATGGTGATGTCTGGCGAGCTGCTGCAGTTACCCATAAACCTGGTGGGTGCGTCATCATTCATTGTGTTCGGTCATTTGGTATGCTGTAGTAAGGCTAACAACTGTGCCAAGTTTGGAAGAAATTGGTTTNACCAGCGCTGACTATGGTGATGTCTGGCGAGCTGCTGCAGTTACCCATAAACCTGGTGGGTGCGTCATCATTCATTGTGTTCGGTCATTTGGTATGCTGTAGTAAGGCTAACAACTGTGCCAAGTTTGGAAGAAATTGGTTTAGTGGTTACCAAGGTATACACATGTAACCATAAGTGGGCGTGGCTACGCCCATTTTCAAAAAATTTATAATATTTTTATTTGTCGTCTAAAAATTATTGTATATATCAATTTTGATGAATTATCTTCAGTAGTTACTAAAATATCGCAGTTTTCTTATTTTTGAAAATTGCCGTTCNATTTGTATGAATTACGCAATGCATATTGTGGACGGACCCCATTTAGCTGTTTCGACATAAAGCATATTTATTCCTGTATTATTTTATAATAAGATTCATCTCTGAAAATTTTCTTTCGTCAGCGGCGCTACTGTGCGGTAAAATAGCTAATGTCAGCATATACTCTGCCAAATTTCTAAACATACACCTTTCCAAAACATTTTTCTAGTCCTTGATCAATCCCTTGTTTTGGGAAATGAAAAGTTATTGAGCAAAAATTTAAGAAGTTAATTCTTTTGCACTATATTCTTAATGTGAATGGAAAAGTAAAAAAAATTATAATCTGAGCATATTTTAGGTCAAGCGGATTAGGGAGTAGACTTAAAATTTAAAAAAGAAATCGGAGTAAATCTACTCCAATCGGAGCAAAGTCCGGATGCTGGGCAGAATTCAGAAAACATGAGCGACATTTTAATAAAGAACGAGAAAGTAATCGAATGAGAAAGTGAGCTGGCAAAATATAGAGCGTCGCTGATTTATCAGATCGAGTTANTCCGATTTTGCCCATTTTCAATACCATCCGTTCTACGCCCGAAAGAAGTGGACGTACCAAGTTCNGAAATGTAAAATTTGTGCTTAATATTTTTGAATCGTATGTACTAGATTCACCAAAGGAAGCCATAAAACTGGCCTAAAGAATTATTTACTGCTGCTAAAAATGTTTTTTAGCTACATATATAGTACAATATGATTAGAATCATTTATGTTGCTTGTTTCTAGCTTGGCTGCGATCCAAAGACTCCTTCATTTGTTTGATACAAAAAGGTACTTAATTTCTTATGTACCAGAGACTCAAAGTCTTAGTTGCGGGCTTTAGNAAAGTTATAATACCCTTGTGCACAAGTGCGCTCGGGTATAAAAAGAAATCGGAGTAAATCTACTCCGATCGGAGCAAAATCCGGACGCAGTTTACAATTAAGAAAGCATGNAATTAGCAGATTTCCTTAATAAGGAATCTTAAACTTAATAACCTCCATTTAAAGGCATCCAATACGAATTAAAAGTGATGTTTTTATAAATTTTATACTTCAAACTGCATATCTGATTTTTGTTTTTACAAATCGCAACAACGCACTATGGGTAATTTGACCAATTTTGTGAACAAAATTAATTATGACACAGCAACCTAATTTTTTTTATTGATTGGCACGCGATTCCCCACATTTTTGCAAAAAAAAATCTCGACACTTGACGATCGATGGGCAAAAAGAAGTCACTTTTTAATTTTCGGTTTCATTGAACATGTTTGAACCTTTTTTCAAAATATTTGTTTTAAAATTTATGCCGTGGCCAATTAAAAAAAAAAAAATTCCCAAATTATATCAGCATATATGTAATACATACATATATGCATTAGGGTGGTCCAAAAACAGTAAAGTCGAAATTGTAATGCTCTCACCCCCTAGGATTTTTCTATATCGAAAAAAAGTATGCCCGTATTTTTTTTATTTTGAAATCAAAAGATATTTAAAGATACATATTTTTTGACTTCAAAATAAAAAATAAGGGTTTATATTTTTTTCGGTATAGAACAATCCCAGGGGGTGAGAGCATAAAAATTCCGCCTTTATTTTTTCACATGCATTTTTGGACCACCCTAATGTACATTAAAGCTCTGGATTTCCAAATTTCTCTGCTGAAAAATTAAAAGGAGCAGCCTTTGCAGCAACGAAATCGTAAACAGCCTTTTGTTTCCTCTGTCTACAAAGAAAGCTAGCTTCTCAGAAAACTCGGTCAAATATTAAGATTATATATTAATTTTTTAACTTAAATATGGCTGGTCGAAAACAGCTAAAAGGCAGAACACAAAATCGATTACAATATTTGACTCGCAGACAACGACTTTCACCACCTGCTAGGCAGTTGTGCTTTTTTTTTACAAAAACACAAGACGCCGTAATTTGGTTTGAAGTTTCCCTTATCAAATACCAGTCACAAAAAGTTTATTTTTGGAAGTACGAAAAACGACTTTTGGCCACATAAACTGATCAAATTACCCATAGTGCAACGTACAGTTGTCAATGCTTGAGACATATTACAACAACTCCTTACTTTATGCTCGACCATGAAAACTCAATACTAAACCTACATTATGTACGTGTCTCTTGTATAATGTATCTCATAAACATATTTACAGCCAAATTTAATTTAGAATTAAAAAAAATGCATTCCTGAAACTCGTAAAAAGTATACAGCACATACGTAAGCTAATAACTAAGCCAAATCTGAGTTAAATAAAAAAAAAAAAATATCGCATTCCAATTTTAACGCTGAGCCAATCCATTTGGGCATGCAAATTTCAAAACTTTGCTTTAGTATAGGCATTGCCGACTAACTGCTTGAATACAAATACAAAATAGCATTCCAATTCAATACGAAAATTCCTTAGAAAAACTCGAGCATGCTTTTCGAAAAATTCAACAAATATTTATTATACTTATGTACTCGTCTGACTGACTGTATTTTTTTTAATTAAAGTTCTCTGTAGCATTTTGCGGACACCTTACCTTAATATCACCACCGCCTGGAGTATGCTTGACATTATCCTTTGAACCGACTTTTGGTTTAGCCTTATCTTTGAAGTCCGTTTTAATCGTTTCGATCTTCTTATCACCGCCACCTGGCTTATGATTGGCATTCTCCAAAGAGCCTATTTTCGACTTGGCATTCCATTGTAGCTTTGTCGATATAATCTGTGTTGCCCGTAATATTGCAAATTAATTTAAAATAACTGTTGTTTATGATACATTTAAATGTGTATAAAAAGTTGAAATATATGTATGTATGTATGTATGTATGTATTTAAGTATTGGGGTAGTCCTTAAAAAATATCAACATCTACATTTTTTATATTGCACCCGTTTATTTTGTTCTATACGCAAAACAAAGACAACCGCGAAAATTTCAAATTTGTAAAAAAATTGTAGATTGTAGACGTTTTGATTTTTTTTTTGTAAATAGCAAAAAAATCTACTTTTTCAAACCCTGGTAGCCATGATGTAATAATAAAAGGTGGCAGCTTGTTTCGACGCCCCTTAGCTCAAGGTTGTATTTGGTAAGCTTATGACGCACAAGAGAAAGTGGCAGAAAAACAGGTCGTTTGGCGAAATAGTACTTAATTTAGTACTAATTTTCAAACGGCGATTTTGGATAATTTTTTATGAAAATTTTGTATAAACATAAGCAAAAAGATATATGTATCTCACGGATTCAAAAACGCCCTATCACACTTCAAAATGTATTGAAAATATGCTGATATAGGGCGTTTTTGAATCGGAAGCTGAGATAGGGCGTTTTTGAAACGAATTCTGAAATAGGGCGTTCTTGAAATGTTTTTTGAGATAGAGCGTTTTCGAACTGGCTGCCGAGATAGGTCGATCTTCCACTCAGCCATCGATATAATGTAGTTTGACATCTATATGTACTGAAAAATATATATGTAATTAACCTTTCTTTTCGAATAAAAGAAATAACTAAAAATTTGTGAATGACTGAGATTAGAAAGTAGTTTCTCAAAGAGACAAATGGAATTTTTCTAAGTGAGCTTAAGTTAGCGGTTAATGCGAGATGAACGCGATCGCATAACAACTTTTTTTTGCATCATGCCTCTAATTTTTATTTTTTTATTTTGAAATTGTCGTGGATGTCTTTATTTTGTACATAGAACAATTATTGATATTTTTAAGCACCACTCTGGCAAGTATAATAGATAGTGTTTATGAATCATATGGTATCTTTTTGTTTTCAGTTTTTTTTCGCTATGTAATTGTACATATGTATGTATGTCATTAGAAACCTTAATTGGAAATTGAAGATTGCCGCAGATGTTGCGATTGATCAATGTATGTTTCTAACCTCAAAAGTTGAGCTCGAAGAAATTTTTAAGAGCCAAAATTATATCAAAAAAAATCATTAGCGATTTTTGTTATTTATGCTTGTATTTGCTTCCGTAAACTATGTACATGTGTATTTCAGTTTTTAGTTTTCTTTGTCTTGTCTAAGGTTTTTTTTTTGTATATATGGAGCGGAGCGCAGATACATGAAATAAATCGACCGTTAAAGTAGTGTACTACAAATGTTTAATGGTGTCTGAAATCATAACGCAACAATCGGCGAACTACTGAACTGTGAAATTGCCTCATCACAATAAGTATACCAAAAATTAATAATAAAAAATTTTTTTAAACATCTACGCGAAAAAAGTGAAGAATTTCACAAATTAAAGCATCGTAGACTATAACTATTTGCAAATGTGGGATTGTTTATCCTGTGTGTATTCAATACTTAGAGTGAGTTCAATACTACATACTTTAGTGTGATTATGCTTTAAAGACTACTCAAAATAGTTACACCTACATATGTAAGTGTTTAAATGCAAGTAAATATTATTAATTAAGACAAATTATCAAAATTTGTTTTATTTTTAATTTAATTTCAAATATATTGAAAAGCTTAGACCCGTTAAAGTCTTGCTTTAAAATATATTTCATATACCTATTTATATTTTATTTCCAACCTCCTAATCTTACCTTTTTTTCGCCACCACGTGGCGTATACTTGTCATTTTTCGCCTCAATTCTGGGTGCGGCTTTTATTTCGATCTTCTTACTCTCGATTTTAACATTACCTCCACCGGGCTTATAGCCAGCATTGTCAAGCGAACCGATTTTAGAACGCACCGCTTTGAGATTGGGTGAAGGAGCGTGTCCGACTTGAATTTTGTTCATTGATACTGTCAAAGAAAGCATTAAGTTTATTTATTTTTTATAGTTTTAAGATTTGAAAGTATATAGGGTCAACTTATATGGGGAATACTGAATAAAATTAAACAAATATAACCGTATACGTTAAAAGTAGCACTAATTATTGTTAAATGGTACAGACTTTTAATTATAGATTCCCAATCCAAACAAAAAGGCTTTTTTCTTTACCAAGCAGGTTTTAGTTGCAGTGTAATGTTGCTGTACCCAAAGAGAAGTTTCTAGTGCTGGATTCTGTAACTGTGGGAAAATGCAGTGTACCTAGCCCGAGTGCAAAATTCACAACCAAAAACTCACGGAATAAAATCCACTTCCCATATAACGGTATTTTCGAAAAATATAAAAACTACGATATCTCAGTAAATATGTACAATCTAAATTGTTGAAAATTAATATGTGAAGTATAATTAAGGGTAAAAATAATATTATGAAATTTTTGGAAAATGGGCGTGACTCCCCCCACTCCCCGAGCCTTGCTTAGGGTGCAACTAGAAAATCTTTTGAAAATCTTTGAAATCGGGCAATAACCACGCCCACCTCCCATAAAGCATGAAAACTACGATAAATTAGTAACTATTGAAGCAAATTCACTCAAAATCAATGATTGCAACAATCACTTAGCAAAAAATTTTAATAGTATACATTTTTGGATAAATAATGGGCTTGGCCCCTCCCTCTTATGACCATAAATGTGTATCTCGGTAACGTATTTATCAAATTCAACCAAAATTGGTGCACCTTGTAACCTTGGTGCGGAAAAGCATTTTTTTTTTAAATAATTAAATCCGACTAAAATTACACTTCCTTCCCGTATAACGGTAAATTTCAAAAGTATGGAAACTCCGATATTTCAAAAACTGAGGACACTAATTTGCTCCAAGTTAATACTTACAACAATCTCTTAACAATAAATAAGACTGTTATAGACTTTCAGGAATTGGGCGTGGCACCGCCCACTTTATGACTAAAAAGGTCATCTCGATAACCGCTTTATCGATTTCTACCAAACTTCTTGGTTCAATGATTTCATTAAATCAGCATATTATCGAAAGCGTTTGATATCGGGAACAACACCCCTGCTTATCATGCAAAGGTACTTGAAAGAAAGTTGAAACGACGATATTTAATACCTGCGCCGGGTATATAAATCAAGCTCGGGTGCTACTTTTGGGCTCAGTAGGTAATTGAAAAGCAGGGGCCTACCTCGACGAACCAAAATCACGCTCTAAAAATCTCTCGAAATGCCCACCCTTTTAGATGGCGCAAATATATGGTCCACATATTGAACAAAGAGGAGACGACTTTTGATGCTTTCGAGAGAACTATACAGTTTGTGCAAAAACTAATAATATATCACATAATGGCTCAACAAAATTTGAAAAAAAAAAATGCGTCCCAGCAAATAAGCAATGTTTCTTATAAGATTTGTTTCCGCAGCATCAGAATCTAAACTTCAAATTTTTAATTTGGCTTTAGTTTATAAGATATTTGGCATTTTCTACTACGTATAAAATAATTATGTAATGAATAAAAAAAAATTAGAAAAACCTCTTCATTAAATTTGCAAACTTTGTTGAACCGACTTCAATTTGTCGGAAATTTTTTCTTTCTTTATTGTGTATGCTAACGGATAATTTTGAACCATGTGAACCATTTTCGATCATTCTTTTTTATCGGAAAAGTGGTAACTCAAGGTTGGTTCCACACTTATTTGCTTTAGTTCCGTATATTGTATCATGAAGAAACTAACAGTAGTTTTTTTGCCTTGTATTTCGTGAATGTTACTTAGTTTTTTTTCGTTTTGGGCTTAAGTGCCAAAGTGTCGATATTCTACAGATGTAGTTAAAAAAATGCTAAACCTTGTTTTTTGACACTATAAATCTGGACTATCCTGAAAACTAATTCGAAGGTCAGTTTCTTATTCTGTGAAAGAAGTCCTATAAGAATAATATATCTGTCGCAAACATTTCTTGGCCAAGCGCCAGTTTTATGAGTATTTCTATTAAAATGACAGCTCACAAAGAATTCGTCTAAAAAAAAAAAACTGCAACATTTCCATATGCAATATATACCAGATGCATTAGACCACCTTTCCACCCTTCTAAATTCGAGGAAAATATTTTTTTTATTGAAAAACGCAACAATATGAACTACAAAGTCGGGGAGGCTCTATCTTTTGGTCGGTTTCGACCGCAAGTGGGAAAAATACTTTTTCCAGAAATAAATTTCCGACAAAAGTTATGTATTTTTGTACTATACTTTAATTTTTTTTAACGTCTACACTAGGCATTTTGTTGTAAGTGCGTACCTACATACGTATATGTTATGATCAAACTTACCTTTTTTAACTGGCTCCGGTTCGGGAGTCTTCAACAGCAAACGATTTCTAGATGTGGAACGTGATTTGGACGATTTGTTCGATGGTGTGGCGCTAGGTGGGCGAGAGGCGGCTCCTTTGTCTCCCTTCGAAGTGGTGGATGTTGGTGTCTTGGCCGGTGAGCTGGGTGAACCGGGTCCGTTGCGTTCCTAAATAAATAAGAGTAAATAAATAAAATTATACGGTAATAATTAGGTTTATGTCTATGTCTCCATGTATGTATGTGTAAGTGGGTACGTATTTTTCCCATTTCGACGCGTTATATGCTTTATTATAATTGAAAAATTCGTGTCAGCTATAATCACCAAATGCATTTTTTCACGCATTGCAAATTTTATAAAATAGTCAAATTGGTTTTTTTATTTTTTTTATTTTTTTTTTTTGTATTATTTTTATTATAGTACACTCTTAGCGTTCGATTTGCAAATTATTTCGACTTATTTCGCTACACCGCACTTGTACACTTCGACATTTCGACTAATTTGAGCATTATGACTTCAAAGGACGAATGTGATTTTGCTTGGAATTCTTTCACATTGTTTTATCGATTCAACTCGACGCAAAGTGTACCACTTTTGGTATTTTTAGTGTAAAAGACAGTTGAATAAAAAAAAAAATACTCGTATCATGCAAAACAGGTAAAAGAAAAACTACAATACGAGCAAAACAACAGCAAAAAAAAGACAAGGAAACCTGCGAAAACATAAATAATATGCCCACACCCTTGGCGCATCAAGGCTGATTTTGGCGCTGGCGTTGTTGGCCCTTTCCAGCTGGCACAGATACTTGTACGGACGATTGCACTCCTCTGCCCAATTACGATGTTTCGTTTCCTTTCATTCTCATCGATAAACATTTGTTCTAAATTATCTTTTATGAACTTTGGTTGGCTTATTTGATTAGCTGCTTTGTTTTATGCATATTCATGCTACTTTATTCGCGTTTTGGTGAATTCTGTTTTGGTTTTTTTTGCACACAAAAGTAATTCTTTGCCATTAGTTGTACATACTTTCACATATTTCAACGTAAAGTTTCTTGACTCCAATTTTATTTTAGTTTGTGAACCTCATACACATATCCTTGTCGTGTCAGTGGCAAGGTAAAAAACTTTCTGCCCTGCAAACACGGATGTATATCTGCACACACACATACTGCCTCATATCACAAAAAACAGCTGTTGGTTTTTTACACACCTGTTCAAGCGATAACTTATACCCGTATCGATATATTGATAAGCTTCGAGTATTAATGGTAAAATATGTTGGCAAATATTTTTAAAATCTACTGCACAGCAGTAATGAAATGTTGTAGTATGGCTGTTTTGGTTGTATCACTGAGATCGCTCGTTTGGGACTGAGTTGTGGAAATTGACTTGGCGAAAATTTTCAGCTACTAAATTCCAGTCTAAGCAGCGACTCAGCTGCATATGTCAATGAGGGCAGGTCATTGAGACACGGATGCGTTACCTACTGCGTACATACGTACATACATTTGTATAGCGAAGCTAGCCAAACTGTAGTAGCTATGTGTCGTATGTGGGCGGGTTCGCCACTGAAGCGTGGCGCCATATCAAAGTGGAGCTACATCTTTCAAGAATCGTTCGTGTTCATAGCAATTATGAGCAAAATGTCGTTCGAAAAGTTCAGTTTCCAAAAAGACACACAACTATGCACATATATGTATAAAGGTACATAACGTCGTTTAAAGTACAAAACCGCGTATCCTACATTCTGCAAAATCGCGTAACTGACATTTGCTGCCAAAAATTGGATTTGCTCATACAAGCTCTTGGCTCAATCCTTATCCATTCGACCTGAAATATACTAGCGATTGCTTTATAAAAAATGGAACCATTTTGAAATGTGAGAGTTTTTAATGCTCTAGAAAATATTTTATGCAACCTCGCATGCGCGGTTTTGCATTTTGTTGATACGCGGTTTTGTACTGTAAACGACGATATGTATGCACATATGCGTAGGTCGTTGTCTTTATTATGTCGTCCATACATTCAAACAGAAGTAGCTATGCGTATTACCCGCTTTTCTTTTGAATTTATTTTCTTTTTTCACATTTAGATTTTATTCCGCTTGCCTTTTATGGCTTTATTACAAAATGCAAAGAAATTAATTGAAAATCGTTTTGTTTCCTGTGTGTGCGCGATTGCCCCGTGAACAGTTAAGATGGCTGCACCACATCTATTTTTGCAACCGAATAACCACGGTATATTTTCGAAAGACGACTTCATGGTTATCATTTTCGCTGAACCAAATTCTCGTGGTCCCTCAAATTATAATTTTTGCAAATGGCGGCATCGGATCGTTATACTCCACAAGAAATAAAATGTCATAAATCATATTTATCAATCGAAGTTATGTACTACCGTCCCAGTTTTCAAATCTGGTGACCATAATATCGTCTGCAACTTCAGAACTTTGTCTAAGTTGGTTGACCATAGACATATATAATTCAGGTTACATTGTTCGGTCATGTAACAAATGACAACATGGATTCTTCCGGGCACATCAACCTATGCGATTTTAGCCTTTTTAAGTAATAATGTAATTAACGCTTCGGAAAGCCGCGTGCAATTGGCGGTACAGTGACTCAAACAAGTGTTCACGTGTTAATTATTATAAATGTTTTTCAAGATAAATTTCTTTGGTTATTTGCAAGTTTCAACCGGTTAAAAAAATTCCGTTGATTTTTGAAATTTCTTTAGTGACTGCTTTTGCGATTTCTTTTTATAACAGGTGGAATTTATTAAAACCTGGCGTTGATTTTTTTAAATTTTGTTGCCAACAGTGTCCCGCATAGGAGGCTCGTGCTTATATGGAATTTTTTTAAATCGACGTGATTTTTTAGGCGTTTGAAACTTATATTTCATGAGCCTAAATTTGTATGGGCTGCATACCCAAAAACGTTGTGAGGGTTCAGATTTTGATAAAAATTTGTTGTATTTTTCATAAATTTTTTATAAAGTTTGAAACTTTGATTTAAATGTCTGTCGAATATAGGACTTGTTTCGAACTATTGAAAAGGTAATGCAGCGGGGGATAATTTCCACTTTCTAGGACATCGCTGTCATTTACAGGCCTATTCTGCTTGTTACCGAACATTTTGACACCGAGAAATTTAAATACCTAAAAATGACAAAATTTCTTGTAAAGGCAATTTTCTAGATAACTTGGTAACGTTATAATTTATTCAAGCTATGAAGTAGATATTCTGGTATTGCATGTTTCACAGAGCAATATTTTTATCTGTGTATGAGATGGTAACATGCCAGAAGAACTTATTCTTTTATAATTTTTATATGTACGTATATATATGCTGTCATCTGAAAAATAATAGGGACACGACATTTTTTTCAGTTTCGGATTTTTCCCTTTGTTTGTTAAATTATTATTATTATTATTTTTTTATTCAACAATTTTATAATGAGCTCGAGGCCATTTTTAAATGA